CTGGTCTCAAACTCCTGAGCTCAAACGATCCACCCGCCTCGGCCTCCCAGAGAGCTAGGATTACAGGCGTGAGCCACCGCGCCCGGCCTCTCTTCCCATTTTTTTAAAAAAAATGCCATTTATTTGTAGAAAAAAATCAAGTCATTTATCCTGTAGATTTTTGCACGTTCTGGAGTTAGCTGACCGCTCCCTTATTAAAGTTTTATTTTTACCGATGATACATTTTTACCTATGATACATATTGTTATAAAGAACGACATACACAGTGTCAAGAAGGTGAAGGTCACTTTCTTCCTCCCCGATCTCACTCTTGGCGTTGAGAAGCCTTCAGATCTATATTTATACTTTTCCACGTGCGCTAATCAAACCATATTTTGGGAATTTATTTGTCCCATAAATGAGCACATCATTCCCAACCTGCTTTTGGTTTCCTCAACCATCTGTCCTTCCCTTGTTCATTTCAGCCAGTATTTATTGAGTGCCTACTGTATGCTAGGCCCTGGGTTCCAGTGGTGACCCAAATAAAAATCCCCGCCCTCAGGGAAGCTGATGTTAGCGCAGCATCATCATTTATTAAACTGTCCCTGTGTGCTTTGTCCCCCTCCCTTCCACCCCCTGCTGTCTTTTGTGCGCATGCGCAAGTGTGTCTCTGGGCTTCACTCCTAGGATGGAATTGTGGGGTTGGAGACCCCGACGGCAGCTCGCTCATTCTTGAAACAGCCCTGGGAGGAGGGGACAGTGGTAACCCCCGTGTATCAGCACAGGGAACTGAGGCTCCCAGAGGGGTCTGGGTTCCGTGGAGGTGACATGGCCAGCCGGGCAGCAGTGGAGAGTTCCGGGCCCATCCCTGCTGTCCTCCTGGGTTGGCACCCAGCTCTGACACATCCTGGCTGGGTGACCTTGGTGAGTCACTTCCCCTCCAGAAGCCTCAGTTTCCTCATCTGTCCAATGGGGACATTAATGGGCTGTTTTGGAGAGGAAACAAAGGAATCACTGTGACCACCTGGAACAGAGCTTGGCACGTAGTGGAAGCTTCTACACACGGAGGTGATCCTTAGTGCTCCTGTATGGATCTGGTGGGAGTCCAGGTCCCCGAGGGTGCTCTTTAAACCAGATCTCCCCCAACCCACCCATTTCTCCTCCTCCTCCATCTCCCTGCCTCCGACCCGTGGCAGTCGTGTCTGTTTCTCATCCCTTCTTGCTCTCTGGCCTGGCTTCAGTTTCCTAAGCCCCTGATACCCAGCAGGGAACCACCACCATCAGGTCCCCCACCCCCTACCGCTGAGCTGGTTAGACATGCAGAACGTCACCCCCAGCCGAGACCACACCCTGGAATGACCGGCTCAGGGTCTACATTCTAACAAAATCCCCAGGGGGTCTGCTGGCATGAAGAAGTTTGAGATGTACTGCCCGAGACTCGGTTTGACCTCAGGAATCTTACCATTCTTTGCGGGGATTATTTGGGAAGGATAGGTTCGATCAGGCCGGCCCAGGGTTGGGCTCTCATAAACAGTAGACACTTGTACGTCCTTCTTTCTTCTCCGCTAACCTTTATGACCAGCTGAGATGACCACTCTGCCTGGTGAGTCCTGGCTCAGTCAGCTCTTGCTGTGTGACTTTGGCGCAGTGACTTAACCTCTCTGAGTCTTAGTTTCCACATCTGTAAAATGGGGATAAATGTACTCAGCCCCCAGGAGAGCTTGACCGGGCAGAGAGATTATGCCTGGAAAGTGCTTAGCACATGACTATAATCACTGATTCCATCACAATAAGAATAATAGCAACAGTAATGATGTAAACAGTGCTCTCTTCTATTGATCACTTACCATTTGGTTCCTGTTCTATAGACGCAACAGTGAGGACCCCACTTTGGGGACCCTGACCCAGAGGCCCTCCATTTCTCTGATATGCCTCTGCTGTTTCAGCGCGAGCTCTAGGTCAGGAATACTTGGGTTTGCATCCAGAAGCTCTGCGTGACCTCGGGTGTGTTATTTCATCTCTCCGTACCCCATTTCGCTCATTTGTAAAGTGGGGCTCACGGTAGGCCTGTCCCAAGGGCGGCGGTGAGGTGCCAAGGAGTCGATGGTCATAAAGCCCTGGGCAGAATGTCAGAGTCAGTAAACGTGCTGTTGGCGGAACGTTACACTGAGAGGCTGGAGCAGGTCCCACCTGTGAGCTGCTGTGACTGGCTCTCCCGGGGGGCGCTCCAGGATGTAGAATCCCCCCCAAGCCCCACCTTAGCTGCCCCTTCTTTTCCTCCCCAGGCGCCGCCCGCACCCCCACCCCACCCTCTAGGCCCCCGCGTCTTGGATCTCCGGCAGCACCTGGAACGCTGGGGCCACAGCCCGGAAAGCTGCCCGCATGTGCGGGTGTCCGGGGGCTGCTGCCGCGGACCGCTGGTGAAGATGGGCGGCCGCATCAAGACCTGGAGGAAGCGATGGTTCTGCTTTGACCGCCAAGCCCGCCGCCTGGCCTACTACGCGGGTAAGCCCAGTCTGGCCGCCCGGGCCCCAGGATGCTGGAGTCCTTCCCCCCACCCGCTCCCCACTGCTGTCTTAGGCCCATGAATCTGGATCCCCAGCCTCCCTCGGGACTCAGGAGTCCAGGCACCCACTTTCCGCTCCCCCCAGGATGCAGGAACTTGGGTCCCTAGCTCCCTCCCACCTTCCCCATAACCCAGGGATGCAAATCCCCAGTCCCTTCCTCCTTAAGTCTCCCAGAATCCAAACCCCCAGCACCTTCCTAAGATACCCAGGAGTCCGAACCTGCATCGTCAGCACCCCTTCCCCCTGCCCCCCCAATAATACCCAGGAGTCCAAGACCCCATCCTCTTCCCCCTAGGGGAATCAATTATTCCGAAGCTCTCCTTGAGCTCCTTCCCTTGTCAGGGACCAAGGCATTCATGGACGCAGGGTTCCAGCTCCCGACACCCCGTTCCCCAATCTTGTCCAGTTTTCCAACCAGCATCAACGTTCACTCACCCCCCAACCATGGTACTTTAGGAAGCTTTGGACTCTGTGACCATGTTCCTCTCTCCAAACCCAGTCCCAGGACTTGGGCCCAGTGCTCGCCCCCGCACCCAACACATACAGACACACACTTCTCACTGGCTCTGTTTCTCCCCTGCCAGACAAGGACGAGACCAAGCTCAAAGGTGTCATCTACTTCCAGGCCATAGAGGAAGTCTACTATGACCACTTACGCTGTGCCTTCAAGGTGAAGCCCCTCAGTGCCACCCAGCCCTCTGAGTCCGAGCCCCTTGACCACGCCTTATCTCATCCCTGACTTGTCCTGGGAAAAGTCACCCACAGCCGCTACTATGAGGGTACTCACCATCCAGCACAGGGCACCAGCAGGTCATGTCACTGCAGGGACGAAAAACTACGAGCTCAGACTCTGGCTCTGAGCCACTGTTAATTTTTTGGACAAAAGTTTTAGAGCAAACATTTGGCAAACTCTGATGCCAAACTGGAATGAATAAACGAGGTCACAGTCAGGACTGGGGCAGTCTGGGCGCATCTGAAGGAGACAGTCAGGCTGCCAGCAGTTGCCAAATGGGAATGGGTCCCATGGTGTCACAGCATATATTTATTTTTCCCTGGAGAACTCAGGAATTTGAACTTGTATGAAAGTGCCGGGTCAGGAATTTAAATGTTGGAACTGATACAATATTTAGAAAGCTCTGTAAAGGAACCAACTGTGGCTCTTTAGGGCTTAGGTTGGAATCCCAGCTGTGTGACAAGGAAAGTGACTTCCCTTCTCCAGACTTAGTTTTCTCATGTGCAAAATGGGCACACTTCACCCCATTCTGTCAGGGTTATTGAGAGCTAACATAATGGACGTAAAGGATTTGCTCAACTGGGGGTTGGCAAGTAGTACTCAGTAAGTGGGTTCTAGATACTTTCCCCAGGTACAGGGGGACCTAGATTTTGGGGAGGTGTAATTTGAATGCCTATATTTCTAATATAGGGAAAGGGAGGCTGGGAGAGGGGGCCATGGGTCTTCCTTTTAAATTTTTCTTGTTCCCAATTTAATAATAGCCCCCTACATTTGTTAATTTTAAGCACTTTCCTGTGTTAAATCATTTAATTCTCATAACCCAGTGGGGTAGATAGCATCCCTTAGGAAGACAGGGAAACTGAGATTCAGTCTTAAGTAACTTGCCCAATGCCACACAGGCAGTAAGTAGCAAGGCTGGATTCGAACCCAGGTTGTGGCTGGTATCCGTTGTCTGAACCACACTCACGCCGCTGCTTATTCCAGAGCCCCAACCCCCGCCTGACGTTCTGCGTCAAAACCTACGAACGCCTGTTCTACATGGTGGCCCCGAGCCCGGAAGCCATGCGCATCTGGATGGACGTCATCGTGACCGCAGCTGATGAAAACCACGCCCCCTGAGCGCCCCGCCCTCTTGGGGGACGTCCCGGCGAGGCTCCGCCCTCGCACGCAGGCGGTGGCGTTCCGAGGCCCCGCCCACTGCCGGAAAACCTGGGCCCGCCCCTTTGGAACTCTCCCGGGAATTCGGCAGGCGCTGCGGCTCGGCTGGCCTGAGCCCTGGCGTTCTAGGTGGCCGGTGTCTTTCCCCGACGGGATCGCCGGCCCCTGAGGCCCTGCCCGGGGCAGGAGGAAGATTGCAGGGGCGGGAAGGAACTATTTATTGGTGCTCCTGTGATACCGAATTAAATACGGAGGGAAAACGGGTTACTGTTGTGGTTTCCAGCCCAGACGTGTGGGGCCCATTCAGGACATCCAAGTTATGAGTACCTCTGAGAGCCAAGTGTCGCATGGCTTTCCCTCTCTCTTTAGGAACATAGGCCTTCAAGCCTGAGGTCGTGGCTGGGGGAAGCGGGTGGGAAGGCATGCGTCTTTAGTGTTTGACAGTTTTGTTTTTCAGTTTGTAGGCCCTTCTGCTTCCACCCTTTTTGGCCTGACTGGGCTATTGGCAATTTCTAGAATCTTGTAGGCTCCCTCCCTCCAGGCCTTTGCACATGCTGTTCTCTCTGTCCTTCTCTTCTCTTAATTAGCTTCGTGTCTTAGTTTAGATGTCCCCTCCTTCAGGAAGCCCTCACTGACTCCTCTGGCTCGGTCAGGCCCCTCCCCCTTTTGAGTTCACCCAGCCCTGCCCTGAGGACCCTGGGTCATCACTGGTGATGCATCTGTGTCCTTTATGCACTGGGAGCTCCATGAGGCAGAACCAGGGTTGTCCTGGCCACCGCTGTGTCCCCAGCTCCATAGGGCATGTCTCTTTCCATGAAAGTGAAAGAAAAAAATTGTTTCCCTTTCACCTCTGGGTCTTTGTACGTACTGTTCCTTTTGCTTGGGCACCTCTCGCTACTCCACCCAGGTTCTACTCATCATTTGGATTTTAGCTCCTGTGTTTTGTCTCTTTCTCCAGGAAGCCCTCCCCGATTGTCCTGGTGGGTCAAATGCTTTCTTCCCACTATAGCCCTGACCACTCTGGCCGTGCCTCCCCGATCCCAACTCTGATCACTCTACCCTGTATTTCTCCCACCACGGCCTTGACTACCCGGGGTCATCACTATTGAGTCTGTCTCCCCTCTCTGGACTGGGAGCTCCAGGAGGAGCTGGCGCTGTCTCGGTCACTACTGAGCCCTTGGCACAGCAAAGGGCCTAGTGCAAACTAGGTGTCGGGGGAACATTTGGGGGTCAAATAAATTGATGGGAAAGTGATGCTGGGGACAGTCGTGTACAAGGCAGGCAGAGCTCTGTGACTGACTTCTTATCATCCTTCAGGTCTCATCTAAGGGGTCCCCTCCTTTGAAAAGCTCTTCCTGACCCCTAGGCTGGGTCAGATGCCTACTCTGGACTTCCACAGTCCCCTGGGCTCCCCCACCTGAGCACTCTTAAGTTGTCACTCTGGAGACAGCTGCGCCCCCTCAGAAAGTCCCCTTGAGGATCCAGATACAGTGCTCCGGAAGCCTGGGAGTGCAAACACCCAAATCCCCAGGTCCTCTGGGACTCCGGGGGCCCCTTGGCCTCTACCTCCAGATGTGAGACACGTGGATTCCTGGATAAATTCAGGCCCCAGCCCCTCTGCAAAGCAGGCCCTTACCGACTCCAGCTTCACGGGCATGTGACCAGTATAGACGACAGCTCCCCGTGCTCAGAAGAGCCCTGCTCCTTTGTTGAATGCTCTGTGGTTACCATCTGGAAATTCTTAACAATTTTATCTTTGACAGATGAGAGTGAAGTCTGAGGGGATAATGGAGCATGACGGGAGGATTGGCGGCAGCTCACAGACAGCCCCACCTCCCAGGGACCGGTTCTCTCCCCCATCCCCTCCCTGCCCCTGGCAGGGGCCTGGGACAGGCATGGGAGGATCGGGGTCGGGTGCTTGTGCCTCATGGTATCTTGGGGTGGAGCGCAGTGGGGGGCAGCCGGTGAGAAGGGGAACCCCAGCAGCCAGGTCACCCAAATTATGGGGCAGTACCCTGAACGGCACTTTTTCCCGCCCTTCGAATTAGGACCCCACATTTTCATTTTGCACCGTGCCCCGAAAATTATGCGGTCGGCCCCACCCCTGACCCCACTCCTTCCCTGACTTGTCCCAGACAGTGTGTCCCAGAGGGAGTGGGTCTGAGACAGGCTGGGCTCATTGGGCTCAGAGCCTGCTCTGCTCCAGGCGACAGGAGACCCAGAGTGGATATGGCCCAAGCCTTGTCAGAGGCCCGGCAGTGTGACCTCCAGTGCTGGGGGGCTGCATCCTCACTGCCCCCCGCCCCAACCGGATTCTGCATCTCTTTGCGGTGAAGCCTGCGGAGGGAGGGGAGCTGGAGGAAAGGCAGCCGCCAGCAGGCCACAGACTGCCGTGGAGCCTGCGTCCAAACCTCCCTCTGTTCTCTGGTCCTAGGCCAGGCGGGGGTCAGCGCCCAGAATCTAGGCAGGCCTGAGCAAGAGAAGACTCCCCACCCTGGGTCCCACTCCCTCCCAAGACGCTAGTTCTTCCGGTTGGGCCAGTTGGGGTTCCTCCCTGAAACTCTCCCACACAGCTGGAGCCTGCAGGGCCTCGTGCCCCAGAACCACACACAATAACAAGAGTACTCTCACCCTGGGTCCTCGCTCCGTCGCTCAGGAGGCAGGGGTTATCAGACCCATTTGGCACAGGAGGCAGCTGAAGTTCAGAGAGGGAGATTTAGTTGCTTGAGGTCACACAGCAGGAGGGTGACAGAGGCAGGAGGATTAAAATTTCCGTCTGTCTAATCCCGGACTTGATACTGCTCCATTCTACCATGAAAGACACCCCTTCCTTTACTGTAAAAAGGACACCTTGGAGGCTCAGAGGGGTGAAGGCACTTACGCAGGGTCACACAGCAAACCAGAAGTGAGGCTGAGATTCCAAGGCTGGGAGGCGGGGGCGAGTGCTGAATGACTCTACAAGAAGTCACTCACTTTCTCTCTCTGGGCCTTAGCATGATGCTAAGTGACCCCACCTATGTGACTGAGATGCTTGTCATTGTTGGAAACGGGGACGCCCGACAGGGTCTGGGGAAGAGATAACGTCTTTATGAGCACAACCGCTATTTATCCCGCCATCGGGCAGCACAGCGAGCCAGCCGCATGCAGCAGGGTCCGACTTCTGACTTTGCAACTTCCCTCGCCGTGTGAACTTGGACAAGTATCTTTCCCCCGCGGGGGCTTGTCTCCTCCTCTGCGAAACGGATGTTCCCCTCTCTACGCCCTCGTTAGGAATTCAAGGAGAGGGTGTTATAAAAGCGCCGAGCGCCCCTTTTGGCAGGCAGCTGGAGCTCGAGAAGTGGGGGCTATTATTAGCCAATAATAACAGTAATAAGAGTCATCTATTTCGCCTAGTATTACTAGTAATAATAGCTAATGCTCTGTAGCACCTAGAACTAGGCCCTATTTTTTAATCATTTCACATATATTTGACATTAATCCCCACAACAGCCCTCTGTGGCAGTTACTATTAAGATCCTCATTTTATAGTTGGGGACACTGAGGGACACAGAAGCTAAGTGATTGTCAGAGGTTCCCAGCTAGTAACCAATGTACTCATGGACCAAACAATAGGTTCTCAAGCCAGACTGCCTGGGTTCGAATACCGCCTCTGTCACTTCCTAGCTGTGTGGCCCTGGGCAAGTTGTTAAGTTTCTCCCTGCCTCGATTTCTCCATTTGTAAATTGACTATCTCAGAAATGTCTCGTAGGACCATTGTGTGTAAAGGGTGTGGAAAAGAGCCCGGCACATGGGAAGAAATCTGAATAAACCTGAATAAACGCGCTTTTGTCATTGTCTCCATTTATGGAAGAGGTCTCTGAATATCAAAGAATCCAAGCCACTTTGCTCAAGGTCACACAGCGGATCAGGATCTGATCTGGGGTTCAAATCCAAGTCCATCTTGCTCCCAAACTAAGGGTCTTTGCAAAATATCATCTCAGGCCTAAGACCAGGCTCTGACCCCGGCAAGTGTCCTGGAGCCTTTAGAGACAGCCCTGGATTCGAATCCCAGTTCTGCCACTTCCAAGCCTTTCCCAACCTCAGTTTCCTCATCTGTGAAATGGGGCTAGGTCCTCTCTTTGCAGAGCTGTCATGACAATTAGAGAGGAGTCAAAGAAAGTGCTAAGCACAGAGTAGGTGTTCAATAAATGATACTACCTTAACCATGAGGATTAAAAGAGACAATTCATGCCGCATGTTCAAAGAAGTTTCTGGCACATAGCAAACGCTGAATATGTAGTATTCGTTCTTATTACTGTCACGATGTGGTTTATGGCAAGAACTATCTGGAATCATCTTGGAAACCGCCCACTGCCTTTTCCCTCACATTTGATCCATCAGTAATTTCTACCACTTCTTCCTTCTAAAATATTTTAGATCTTTCCATGTTTCACGCTTCCTTAGTTACCACCTAAGCCAAGTCACATCACAGCTCGCCTGTGCCAATGGTCTCCACCTGCGGTTGAGTGAGTCACATTTCTTGCTCCTTGCGAGGAGGGAGGATGCACATCCTGGGGGGACTGCGGGGTGTCTCAGTAAAGGGGTGCCAGAAAAGACTTATTTTAAGATTTGGGGCCAGGCACGGTGGCTCACGCCTGTAATCCAAGCACTCTGGGAGGCCGA